GTGAAAAGGGGGGGGGGGGCGGGGTTTTTTTAAAAAAAAAAAAAAAAAAAAAAAAAAAAAAAAAAAAAAAAAAAAAAAAAAAAAAAACATTAAGCTTGTATATGTTACCTTTATATGGCTTTTATTCATCTAAAAAAAAAAGTACATGTCAATTGTTGGGGGGTTTAAAAACTGAAAATGGGGGGTAGTTATTTTGTTGCATTTAAGGAATAGAGGAAAAAGCAGACGATCAAGAAAGATCATCTGATTCTCAACTGTGTCCAGTTGATTGGTGCATTCCTAGCTGAAATATAAAGCAGCTGTAGATAAATTGTAACCATTGTCTTTGTTCTTCTATCTCATGCTTCTTTTAACAATTGATGTAAATGGAAGGAAATAAACATTACCTATTTTTTTGTAATCTTAGACAATCTGATTTAATATTTTAGGTTCTCAAAGGTCTTTTCTTTTAGTGATATTTGATTAACGTGCACACGTTTAGGCTTTCTTTTGCGGTGGCACAAATGATAACTTAATAAGTGAAAGCGATGCAAATTTAGCCCATAAATTGCCTACTTGCAGGTTCAGTGATTTATATTTACAGATGCACAAGCAAGAGCAAACAACGGTGGGTGATTAATTTACAAGTTCTCAGCTGTGCACATGCCAGCATGCCAACAACTGAATTATTTTCTTCTGCCACAGCCTTTAATTAGGCAGGAGAGAAAATAAGACTTCAACAAACAATTGTGGATAATGATCAATTGGGAAGTTATGTGGATTAAAATTAATTGGTTTTTGCCACAACAAATTATGTTTTAGAAAAACAGTAAATGAGTTTATATAGCCCTCTAGGTACTTCTCTCTCATCTAATTCTTGACAATGTCTCCTAAAATGTTTTTTTCTTTGAGTGAACATAACATAAAAAAAGCTTAAAAAGCTGGAGCCTAATGATTATTAAAGTAATTCCTTGTAACAATAGCAAAAAAAAAAGAAAAACTTTCAGTGAACTAACTTTCAAAACTTTATTGCACTCTGGAACTTGTTCTCTCAACAACCTTCATCTCAGTGAGGTCTTGTTTTTGCAAAGCGAAGGGAACACAAAAATACAGCTCCACAATATTAATGGTTGCAATAAAATTCCCACTGCGTTTGTTTCCACAGCCTTTAGCAGGGGTGAAGGAAAATTAGAGGAAAGGGGAAAAAAAAAGAAACCCACATCTGTCCTCCCCTCTCTCAGATCACGCAACACGTCTACCAATGTGATCCCTGTGCTTCTCGGCTCCTCCACTGTGAAGATGTATCTCGTTTCTGGGTTTTGCCGAAGCTGTATGTAAATCTCCAGGTCACAGGACTGTTGGAACAAAAGCTTGGATGGTGCTCGGCCGTCTTTATCACAGTTGCACTTCGAAGCATCTGCTAAAACCTGCCTTTCCAACTGGCATGGGTCCAGAAGGGAAGACAAATAAGAGCTCGGTAACTAACTATGTTTTTCTCTCGGCTGAATCCCACCGCTTCGCTCCTTTCTTGTTGGTCAGTGATCATCTGTCTGCCGTAACCCTCATGCAAATAAGCGCATTATGAGTGCGCCCTCGACCCCTCCGGTTCTCTTGAGTTTGTCTTGATTGAGTGTGGCAGGTGGAGGAGGGGACGGATATAATGGACTCCACCAACTTTAATGAGACAAATCTCAGCTACAGGCTGACATTTTGAAATAGTCCTTGTGAATGACAGTGTCAGCAGTCACCTTTACCACAGCTTTCCGGAGAAGGGCCCTGTAATGACAGAGAGAATTAAAATGGCCTCCAAGGCGGCGTTAGATGGGAGCCGCAGGATTAGGCGCAGAACCACGCCTCTTAAACGGGCTCCTCTGCCACACCCGGGTGATTAAAGCTGCCGCTACGTGAGAAGCGTCTATCCCCTGCAGACTGTATATTCTCGGCCCCCGACACTTGATGAAGAGATTATGCTGATGTTAGGTGCTGACCACTGAGAGATTTGTTGAAATGAGTTGTCCCTGATGTTAACGGCACCTTCCCGCTGGTTTTAAAGTCTGCCGGCTGACAGCGACGAGCTTCCACTGCCGTTACAAACTTAATAAAGAGCAGAAGCGAGATTGATGAGAAAAAGAAACAAAAAAACAGAGGCATCAAGGGCTCTTTTAATTAACTCGTGTCCCATAATGTTGCCAGGACAAAGGCACTGAGCAAAGAATGAGACATTTTCTTTTTCCCTCTACCCACCCACTTTTTTTTTTTTTTTTTTTTTGTTGCCTCGCTCACCAGCAATAATGAACAGCCTTCTGGGACCCAATTACATCCAAGGCTGCATTAGGAGCTCAGCGGGCCCAGTGGAAACTTCAGCTGAGTTCGCCCTTATCCCCCCCTCCTGCCTCCACATGCTGTTACCCCGCTGGAGATGGCCTTCACTTGATTGAATTTTGAATGTTACACAGCCCCACACCTCACCCCTTGTTTTCTGTGGTCCTTTACGTTCAGCGGGTTTGAACCCACATGTGGCTTATGATGGAAACGGGAGGCTATGTATGCTCGTTGTTAGCTGTCCTTCACTTTATAACTGCTTTTCTGTGATAGAGTGGCTTTCAAATCAGTGTGCGATGGCCAGCTGGAGCATTAAAGCCTGTTTGTGTGTTGCATCCCTGTGACTAACAGCATGTTCACGGGGGGAAAAGAGATTAAAACCACTGAACTGTGATATTTTTGAACTGAATAAACACAGACAGCGGGGGATGTATAAGAAAAATGAAACAAAAACTTCCTGCGAAGACGAGTACACACTTTTTGCCTCAGCGATATGTCTCTTACTTTACAGCAAATGTAATTATTTTAAAAATTAAATGAATATATAGCGTGTTTTATTAAAGCTTGCTCATGTTGATTCCCCACAAAATCCTGGTCTGGGAATAAAGTCACACCCACTTGTAACCTGGAAGATGCTAACTGTTTTGGTGCAGCAGTATACTATGTTAACATATTTGTCTCCATGTCATACATTAAAGGACTATACCAACATGTTTAAAAAGATGAACTACACAGAAGGTTACTGTTTGTGTCAGCAGACGGCTGGTTGGATGCTATCAGAGTGAAAAAGTACAAATGTTTTCTGATGACTAAAATGCAGCACCATCTAACTTCACCTTTACCACGCTTAGGATTGAATATATGAAGAGTTAATTTATTCCAATATCTTTTAAAAGCAACGCTTTACATGTGAATATTTAGCACTGATTACACTCTTCTGGTTATTGCCAGCTAATGAACAGAAATATGAAATGGGTCGATGGAACTTGGGGACTACTCAGGAAGTCCAACGTTCCAAACTTAAATTCTGGTTTCAGGGGGTTTTGTTCAATTCCCCCCCCCCCCCACCCCTTAATTTATTTTTGGGGCCTGCCAATTGACAGTTTAGCTTATGGATATTAATTTTCTCTTTATTGAAGCTATTTGAGTATTGAACTACATGGTCAGTGACGTCACTGACCATTCATTGCGAGAAATTCTTTGAAGCTGGAAGCTCTCTTTGGAATCACTGTAATCTATAGCTCACTCCCAAGACCAAGATTCTCAGCAGACTGTTGTTGAGGTCCGTTTTTCTTATGATTTACTTTGATTACTTGTTGTACACTTCCACAATCTGGAGATGCAGCTCTTTTTTTTTATGCAGAAATACTTTTTTTTTCCACCTTTTGAGTTGATAAAAACATTTTTTCCCCATTAATCAGGGTAATTATGGAGCTTTAGAAGAGCTTGGGACGAAATGAAATGATGTAAAACATTAAATTTATCCTCAGACTCACAATTTGCAAGTGGTATCAATTATTTGCAACTTTTAACTGTATACAACAAAGAAGTTTAAAAATCCTAATAGGGGTTACCTATGTCATTATGTCAAAGTGTCGTCTTAATCTTTGTGTCTGATCTCTGGTAAGTTTTAGTTTTCTCGGACACTCAACGTGTTGAACATTGACATTAAAGCTGGAAGTATTTTAAATATGGCTTCAACCGCGAGAAGGAACCAAGTCATCTGTGTGTTAATGCTAAATAAGTCCATTCGTTCTTCCACTAAGTGGATAACTTCCCTCCTGTTTCGCACCGTTTTAAAATTCAATTCATATCTTCTACAATCTTCTCCTGCAGGTCCCAAATTTGTTGGGAAAACTGCGTAACATTACACAGTTGAACACTTTCATCGTAGAAATTAAGGGGGGAACTTTGTTTTACTCTTGTCGGTTTTAAAAACAACAAAGACGCATTTGCAGAGAAGCAAATGGCAAGGAATCGGGGGAGCGTCGTGGCATCCAGTCCTGCTTTCAAAGGTCCATTGTCTTATCCCAAACCAGCACTTTGTGTATACTGTACTACCAAGCTTGATCTACTTCCCCATGGAGTGCAGAGTTACTAACAGCTCATCCACTATTGCTTAGGGGTCTTATTTTGTTCTAGAAGAAAGACTTTATACTGTCAAACTCAGACATCCCATGTGATTGAAGGCCGATGGGCATGGAACTCTCAGAGCTGCCCTCAGAGCTGCAGCGATGCCTGCTTGTGGTGGGTGGAGTGGAAGAACAAAGGCAGACTTGTTAAGGGTTTGATACCTTTATTATTTTATTTTTGCAGAAATTCCTTTTCTATCTGGCCAGACTCATTAAGATTTTTGGCTGTTTTGACTTGTGGGCATTTTACTTTAGGAGTAGTTGCCGGGTGCTACTTAAGCGTATCTTCTTTTGTAGATGTCAACTTACAGATATGCAATAATCACAATAAAGATCAATATATAACAGATAATAGTACAACATAGTGCTTACACAGAACAATTAGCAACGGTTGTGATCTCACAGCCTTTATTCACTGTTCATTTTATGCATCTTCATATTACAGCGCTTGAACATGTTTTAGTTCTTTTCACTGATGATTGAAGGTCATTACAATACTAAAAGTAGAATCTCCTCAATCGCAGTAATTTCCAAAATGTTAGAAATGTCTGCAAAGGGCAGGGTCCCCTCAGGGATAAGATCTTCAGAAGAAAGTCTTTCCAACTCTGCAGCCATAATAGCAGATGAAAAACCAAAAGGCTATGATATTTTGATTCATCTGCTGCCTCTCCCCTCTTGTAATCAACATTCCTCTTGTAGTCAAATACCTGCAAAAGAACAAGAAACATTCCAGTAACTGGATGATCAAAGATCACAAAAGGCTGTTAGAAACAAAAGATGTTCATCTGTATTTACAGATTATGAAGGCCGGAACTCTGTTTTCTTTTACCTGCTGTTGTCGAAACGCAGTCTTGTAATTTAAGCAGTAATACCAGTTTTTGTTCTGGTTGTAAGTGGATCCTCTCCCTCCACAATTTTTAATTTTTTTTTTTCTTATTAAATATTTAATTTTAACCCTCTCTTGAAATACCACAAATGAAAAGAAAAGTCACGTTGTCTTAACCACTGCAGAAGTAACACAACTTTAAATACTGTGCAAAATTTAACAAGATGGATTTGCAAAACATAACAATTAGTGAACTGAAAAGACAGGTTAAAATACTGTATTATGACTTGACATGGTTACAGAGTTTCAACATCATTTTGGTCCCTTTTTTTTTAGAGGAATAAAAACTGTTTAACAATTATACATGCCTGTTACGGTCTTTCTCATTACACACCGACACATCACCTGAAATTTCCAGCAGGTGTGGTGTCACTGAGGCCTGGTCGATATTCACACACTTCAGGGAGGACACACCGACTGTCAACAGGTGGGGGAGGGGGAAAGGAGAATTACAAAAATTAACAATCTTACCAAAGTCCCTTGACAGCAGAAGGTTGTTAGGCTCCATTTTTTCATCAAAACATTCCCTTATTACATGATCGGCTGATGCCGTTTTCATTTGGAAAACAGGTCTGTGTAAGGAGACAGAAATTTTAACAGAATGCAAATTTGCTCTGCTTATTCTGGCTAAGCTTCAACAGCGTCCCAATCCCACTTAAGCTTCTTGTTGACCGCGTCTGCCAGCTTGCTGTACACAATTGGCTCCTCAACCATTCTGACTGCATTGTTAATGTCTAGCCTTTTGTATGTGGCTCAGTTCCACCGGAAAGGAAACATCACACGTGCAAAATTATTCCACAACTCAGATAATTAGCTGAAGAAACAAACCCGACTGTGAACTGCAATATGCCTCGGCGACATTAGAACTTTTAAGCATCGCGAGAGGAAGGATTTGAATGCCAAGAGAAATGAGCTTATCAAATAAAGCTTGAAAATGTGCAGTGAATGAAATGAGTCAATCATTTTAATGTGGGATGGAAGCCCTGGGGAGAATACATAAGCAATAGTCACATCATGCAGGGAGAACAAATGAGCATGGTACACAATTAGGCAGGGTCACATTCTGCCAGAGCTGCGAGCGTGGGATGAGCTAATAAGCTGTGTGAGGAGGGAGTCTGTCGGCTTGTGTAAATGTACAGGAAGATAAACAGGAAGCACAAGATAACAAAAAAAAAAAAAAAAAAAAAAAAAAAAAAAAACACCTCAATATTCGGATGTACAAACCAAGACAGCCAGACACACAGGCTGCAAGTCAGGCGGGACGCAAAGATAAAAGTCCGAGGGGCTGGTGCAGAGGAGGTGGGCTAACAGTCGACTTGCCATCGGGGGCAAGCAGACATGCAGACAGACAGATCAGCGGGCAGGTATAACAACCAAGCAAACAAAAAGACAAGCAGTGCCTCAGAAGGATGGAGGCACAAAGCTTTCAAAGGCGACTTATAGTTATTAACTATTCAATCACATAAAGGAGAGCTGAAGGCGTGAAAGGTTGCGGACCGAAGCACTTTTGCTTCAGTGCATTAAGAGCCTGGTCCGGCACTCGGGGCTGCGTGAAAGAGAAATGGATTGCCTCCCAGGAAGATGACTGCTCAAAGGGGTAGGCTTTTTTTTCCCCTTAATAACCGCAATCTGCTGTGAAAATCTAATCCCAAGTACCATTTACACCGAATCTCGATAACTTCTGCTCGAAAAAGCATACAATATGAATTTTTCAGAGCCCGATATACAAATAAACACAACAAGCTCCGCCATCAATCAAGAGACAGCCTCAAAGCCACAGAGCAACAATAGCAAATTGCTAATGAATACCGTGCTGCTCGACATTCACAATTTAAAATAGCACAGATATTTTACACTGGCTGCAACGAAAATACAATTCCTCGCAAGAACATTAAATGCGTTTGCTCAGTCAGAAATGGGTGTAAATAACCCACATGGTCATGCAAATGAGAGTAAATAAAATAAAAATCTGTGCCGATAACGTGAGTGACATTCTGAAAACGACAAGCGCAGCATGAAAACTGACAATGAGATGAATTAATAGCTTCATCTTGGCCATAACAGTCAGATATGGATGCCGCCTTTAAGCTCTGTCCTCTGCCTTTCGCTGCCTTAATTCCCCCTCCTCAGTGGTGGATAAGAGGGATCAGAAATACATCCATATGCATGGACAACTATCTGCAGAGGGGATGTAAGGTCTCAGGCTGGCCAGCTTTTTGGAAAGTACTGGTAATGACACTTAATGAAAGCTGGGGAGTCGGACGCTGAGGGCAATAGGCTGGCTGTGTTATTTCCCCAGCTTCCGCCACGAATCCAGACCAGACCAGCCTTTAGATATCATAAATAAGCAAACATGCTGCGTGAAAATAGATGTGCTGCTTTCCTAGCTTCTCTTTTTCTATTCCACCCCTTATTTATCTGTGCATAATTCCTTGTGTCTCGAGTTTGCTTGTATAAGGCCAAAGCTCCAATTATTGCTCCCCGAAGATTTTCGAAATGTTGCAAAACATTAGCTGAGCATTGTTCCAGTAGCCGTAATCGGCTGGCTTTCCAGCTGGCTTTATCCAATGTGGAACACCCGCTTATAAAGAATGCTGGAGGTTTCGCTACGATTTACTATTCTCCTTATATTACTAAACATGGCTTATGGCCCCTGTGCAATGAAAACGCTAACTTTGCTCATTCTAGCCCAAGTTAAGCTGTCATCTTCTTAATTGGTCTGAATGGCATACAAAGACATGTGCCTCCTGTGATGCAGGTGATCCAGCTGAGGGTGACATGAGAAGGGTGCTTGTGTTGAAAGGAGTTGTGAGGTTCAAAGTAAACAGAAGGAATGAGGGGATAGAGAGGCTCTTCTTAGCACAAGCCCCTAATCAGTACAGTCAACACACGGCAGATTGGGTTCACAGCTTTCTCTTCGTACTCTCACGCCGCTTCTGTCCTTCCATCACCAAAACCGAATCCCTTCAATCAGCTCCAATTTCCCTGCTTTCAGTTTAAGAGGATGTGGGATAAGAATGTGTTGCAAGAAAATGCCAGGTAACACAAGCCGGGCTTTCTCCGAGGCAACGAGATTCTGGCTGAGGAAAATTACTTTTTTTTTTTTTTGGCCGTAAGATATGATTCCATCAATACGCAGCTCTTTCTAAAGCAACACATTGAATTCATATTTTATTTAGAAAGAGTTGAAAGTTTCTGTGACCAGTAACACAGACACTTCTGGAGAGTCCTCGGGTCTTCGGTGTGGAAAGTTTGTAAACTTACCGGAGGGCCAAACTACCCCAGGGAGTAGAGACATTTTTCTCCAGCGCCTTTCATTGTCCTTTGATTATAGATTCTCTTTGTCGGTCTCAAACATTTCCCAGCAGAAAAGTGTCTTCAGTGCTAACAAGCTTTTGCCATCAGTCATTAATGGAGCACACAGGTTAGCTGCAGCCGAGCAGACTAAAGAGAAGGTCATTGTGGGTGAAGAACAAGGAACGTGCTAAATGTGTTTGTATGTAAAGGAGAACCTCTGCTCTAGCAGGGACGTGGCACCACGCCTTCATTAGCGACATCCACCAGGGAGGTTGGTGGCATTTCAAACGCTAATGTTTTGACTTTCCAAGACTCTTGGGCTGCTGATTTTACAGCCACAAAACACTGACCATTAGTCAAACAAACACATCGAATCCTATGCTAATCCCAGGGCAAGAGAAACAATTCCCCACCACGACAGACAATAGAGTCCTCGGAGTTATGAAGCATCTTTGTTTTTCAGCGTCTGTGATGTGTTGCTGAGTGTTTCTATTGACCTGTGTTTTAGATGAGCCACTCTAGGAACGTTCCTGCTCTGCCTGAAAGCTTTCTTCTTTGTCACTGAGGTCTCTGGAGTCGGCCAAAGTAAAAACAGGGAACATGTAGTCACAGATGGCTTGTACAGGCTTGCTGTCCCTCTTTTGGGAGAGGAGCAAAGCCAGGAGTATCACAGTAACGAGATGATGAACTCCGTACCTTGACTGAATTTCAGCCCTTCAAGCAACTTTTGTTCTTGAAAAAGAAAAAAAAATATATATATATATTCTTTGGTACTAGCAAAACTAACATGAAAATAATCTAAAGCATATACTGTTCTCATTCTCTGCTTCAATAAATCTGTTGAATAACTTTTCATGTTGTATAACTGCATTGTAACTGCACTTTCCAAAGCAAAAAGGAAACAAGTACTGACAAGTTATCACTCTGTGGCCAGCAAGATATCAGGATTGTTCAAAAATATTCAGTATTCTTGAATTTGTAAGTCAAAATATGCTTATATATAGTGATTGGAAACACTGCACATTTTTTTTCCCCACAACAAAATGTGAGGAAAATTATGAAATTTATTATTGATCTACAGAAAATGAGGAAAGGGTTAATGATAGATGGTTTGAAATTTGTAGTGTCTGCACTTGTACTTTATAAACTTGACAGAAAATGTACAAAAATGTAGCTTCTCTTTGAATATCTGGGCTAATATTTAGATGGAACAGTTTATAATGTCGAATGCCACAATCATAAATTGCTCAAAAATTATATGTAGCCTTTTGACACTTAAGGCTACTCCTCTTGGAAGTTTTTGGGGGCTGAGTTAACACATTTATGTTGAACAGTGGGGACATTATGATGAAAAATGTGAATTATTCCTAATCAATTTCTAGAGCTGTAACATCAAAATGAGATTTTCCTGATGTCGTACAGTGAGCGACTCTTCCAGCCTACGGTGAATGAACAACAATTTCACAAATTGTCTGCTTTTACCTCAGTTTTACCTCAGAAACAGCATGTTTAATATCCTGCCACAAGTTCTTTGTTGTATTAAGGTCCAGAGACGGGGATGGTCACTTTTTAACCTGCTCGTTTGGTTGTAAGATGCTGCTTGTCTACTGGTGTGTTTTGGGTGGATCTTTTGTTGAAAGACGAATTTCAAGGGCATTTACTTTTTGGCATGAGACAACATGACCTCTTCAGGTATTCTGATATATTCAGACTTATCCATGATCCCTGGTGCGTGAATTGGCCTGACACCATAGTGTGAGAAACATTCCCATAGCATGATGGTACATGTACTGTGGTTTGAATTCAGCTGGTATGCTGTCTGATAAACTGTCTACACCTCCCTGAAAAAAGCAAAAACATTGCTTCCATCAGTCCAAAAAAGGGTCACCATTTCATTTCAAACCAATCAATGTTTTCTGGAAAATTGTGACGTATTCAGCACATTAGGTTATGTTTTCCAACGTTAGGATTTAGCACGGGCTTATTGCCAATAGCTTGGCTAAACTTTGATCAATTTGAATAGTAGTTTTCAGTTTTCTTCTATGTGTTTCTGGTTTTGATTTCCACTCAAGAGATTTGAGATCCATTAAGCACAGCCTCCTATAATTTCCTACTTTTGCAACCACCTGCTTATTTAAAGTAAGCAGTTCCTCAGAAAAATGTGCAGAGGTTACTCAGATTTTTAAAGGAATGCACTACAACCAGCCTGTAAGGCATTCACTGCCTTGTCTTACAATAAAAACAACCAGTTCGACTGCAGTTTTGTCAAAATAAGCTCTTTAATTAGACCCTAAATGAAAAAAATTTTCTGTGTCAGCTAATTCTGTGTCAACTATACAAAATAACATTGTACACATCATGACTGTTGTGTCTGTTCTCTATTAGACCTATTGGTAATATAGTGATGTAGAAATAACGTTTCTACCAAAAACAGTGGTTCAGGTAGTGATGATGGACTACTGTTAGCTTAAATGCTGCAGTATAGTGACATCAAATCTTTTTAGTCACAGTTCAGCGTTAACCACTGTAATGAACTAAACCAGAGGTTCCCAAACTGTGGGGCGCGCCCCCTAGGGGGGGCGCCATGTCATTGCAGGGGGGGCGCGGGAAGCCGCCTAGATAAAAAAACAAAAAAAAAAAACAAAAAAAAAAACAAAACATGAACA